TTCACTTTTTCAACTGTGTGCCTTCGCTGTCAGGAGGACAAAGGCATTCATGTTCTTCCATGATGCATTTATGGTGCAACGTTAAATTGGATTTTCACTTGCATAAACACAATATGTATACTGATTATACACTAAACATGTTTGATTACAGCAAACAGAAATATTTTTGAATAACAAACATGGCACCACATTTCAATGTACATCAGGTTTTTACTCACAGAAAAAGAACCAATTTGGCTCATTAAAAGAACTATAAGCAGGAGAATGAGCGAGAACCCAGTTAAAAGGGGCAGCAGAGGCTCAGGAGTGGCTGGGGCAGAAAATGGAGGGCCCTGGGTTCAATCCCAGCTCATTCTTACCATTTCTGCTGTTGTGTCATTGAGCAAGACAATTCACCTACCTTGCATTGGTAAGCGGCTGATCAGAGGGGTTGAAGGGCCAAAATGGCAGCCTCACCTCAGTCAGACTGCCCCCAAGGCCTCTGTGGCTGTAGCTTACAATCACCAACAGCATGTGAACGAATAATGGATTCTCTGGGAAGCACATTGAGTTCATATGAATATAACCCATCTTTTGCCATTACTGATAAAATAAAACACTGTGATGACACAGTCCAGATACACACAAAATTGCTTGCCTACAAAAAAAGTCGTCGAACAGAATCTCGTTTTTTTTTTTTTTACTTCAATAAAAAAAAAATTTGAGCAAGTACTTAATTTTTAGCTAGATTTGTCAAGGTCGCCATTGTTGATGCTTTCCGAATGCCAACAATGACAAACATTAAAGTGGGAGTAAAGGCATGGGTGGAGACTTATTTCAACTAGGGCTGCAACAACAAATCGATAAATTAGATGAAAATCGATTACTAAAAGCATTGGCAACGAATTGCGTCATCGATTCGTTGTGTCGCACAACTCTCCCAAAAGCGCCCCCCCTTCCCGTCCGCCGTTGCGCGCAGAGCAAGTCAGATCAGCGCGAGGGAGAGCCAGCAGATCAGCGCGAGGGAGAGCCGGCAGATCAGCGCAAGGTTCGCGCTGCTGCGAACCGGTTCCACCCAAGGCCGGATTAACTGGGCAATTGCCCAGGGCCCACGAACTCTAAAGGGCCCAGGGCACGAGCACAATACTGTATCTATAATTTCCCGCTTTATGAGGACTATGGTGACCGTACGTTCTGTTTTCCCCGGACTTGTCCACTTTTCACTCTGTCCGGACTGCGGGTTCTTGTACTGATGAAAATGTCCGGCTTTTCATCCAGGAGCAGGGATCGAATTATGGGGGAGCTGTATATCCTACACATCCGGGGAGCCGGAAAAAAGTTTTCTATATTATATCATTTTTGGACTCTTGAGCAGAGAGTGGCACAGCGCATTGTTGCGCAGCGATCCAGGCAGCTGCTTCCAGCGCACGGTCCATTCTCAAAGTGGCGCAACCAAAAAACTATAATTAGCACACGATCGTTCATGTCTGCACATGTTCTCTATTTTCTGTCTTATTTGTGCCTGAAGCGCGCTACTGCAGAGCTCATCACCTGTGCTGTGGTGATGTCACCTCACGCAGCATCGAAAACGCGTTCTGCGCTTTGCGGTCAGGAGATCCCTTTGATCTGCTCAAAAGTAACTGATGAGGTGAAAAGGTAAGAATCCAGGCAACAGATTTTCTGGACAATTAAGAGGAGATGCAGGAAGATGAGAGACAGACAGGACAGGAAAATAGTTAAATAAAAACAAGAAAACAAAACAAAGTGTTGAAAAGTAAAATGTAGGTAGATTTATCTCCACTACCCGTTTTTACCAGTAAAAAACAATAAGTTATACACATGTCATATTTATACATCTGATACAATTCAGATCACCTTCAAAACTCAGTCACACACCCAGGGCCGTTTCAAGACATTTTGGGGGCCAGGGAAAAATGCCCAACCCCCTCCCCCCCCCCCCCCCCCCCCCCCCATAACTGGGCTCCCCAGAAGCCTCTGTGTAGTTCATACCCTATCCAGTAGTGTTAGTTATACAGTGTTTATAAAAGCCCCTCAGACATCACTGACATGTTCTAATATTATCAGATGAAAAACTAAATTATCAGACATGCTGTCTCATCTGCTTCTTCTAAACTTGCAAAAAGTAACAAAACTATTTGAAAGCCACTATTTGTGGATTATTTGAAAGTTTCCATCGAGTGTGGGACAACTTTTTTTTTCACTGATCCTATCGTCTAATCTCACAGCTGAAACAAGCATCCTTAATAATCTGTGCACAGGAAGCTTACCAATGCTGTAGTAAAACAAAAGGTATAATAATTTATTATTAATAAAACCTTGTTGCAGCACTAAAGCAGAAAAATGAGATTTTGCATTAAATATGAAAAATATTTACATATGAATTGTTTTAGAGCCCTTTTATTGGCAGAATCTGATATTAATTTAGTTCTTACAAAAAATGGGTCCCAACATGGTTTGTGTGGCGTTGCCATAGTGTGACGTCATAGGCACAGATCCCCTGTCCTCTTGTTTGGAAATGGAAATATGGTCACCCTATTAAACAAACTGTCCACCCGGGCTTTTGCGCTGCACAGAGACGCTTCGCTGCCTATGACTGAACGTCAGTTGAGAGTCAGTCTCATGCAGACTGACCAATGAAGAGAGGGCCTCAAGTTAAGACCCTCTCCTCATTGGTCAGTCCACACGAGGTGGGTCAAAGGTTACTCTGGGCAGGTTACGTGTTGTCAGGCATTCAAGTATTGAGTATATTTACTGCATATTACAGTAAAATATTCTGTATGTGACCACATTATGGTGATCCTCGGGTCGTGATGATGGAGCTCTTGAATATTGTTGCCCAGGGTACAACAAAGTGTTAATCTGGCCCTGGTTCCGCCGTCACATTCCCGCAGAAACTGGTTGATCACACCGGGGCCAGACTACTAGCATGTGGTTTTACAACCACAATGTCCTCGGAAGCAAAAACGCTTTTAAAAGGGAGGGAGGAGTCCTAACTGTTGCTGCAGGCGTGTTGTGTGAGTGCATTTATATACTGGTTAATATATTTTTGGGTTCAGTTGCTTTCATGTGGCCTAATGTGAGTCTATTTGGGATCATTGGAATGATCAGCAGCATTTCTTGATGTGACTTTATGGCAGTTGCCCAGGGCATCATCACAAGGAGGATGGCATTCATTTACTTTTGTTTTATTTGGTATTTTTTCAGTCATTTTTGGAAATAGTGATCAATTTTGATTAATTCATAGCCTTTGTTTAATTACATTTAAAAATTAGTTGTTTGACATCCTCAATTATAATAAATGTCAACAGATGAGATCAAACAAAACAGATGAGAATTGCCCTTAAGCTGTTTAACTAGGACCAAGCATTTTAGGTCACAGATAGATGTAGCTTAGGGTCTCTGTCTTTACACCTTATAAGACAATTTAGGTGATGACATGTTGTTTTTCTGCTATTGAACTGTTTTCTAATAATGTTGTGTTAAATAAAGTGAAGGAAGGAGAGAAATAACGTTTCCCTAGCAGTTTTTAAGAATTTCCCCATGTAATCCGATTAATCGATTAATCGTGTCGAGACCCCATCCGATTCATCGATTATCCAAATAATCGTTTGTTGCAGCCCTAATTTCAACCAGACTTCCTGTTAGAAAAATACCTGGAAAAAGGTGTTGCCTGAAGCACTGAGGAAATGATTGGCGGCACCCCCCGCATGCGGTCTCAGAGTTTCTCAGTTGGAAAAAAAGAGCTGTCAACATATGTGCGCACACTTGCACGTGCACACAAGCACACACAAACAGCAGACTCACCGCTCAGGAGAAGAGCAGGCACAGAAACAGACTGCAGGAAGGAGGACTTCCTGTTCACCTCCTTCATTAGAAAAAAAGGGAGGAGGACATTTTTCTTAAGGAGGCGAGCGGCTCCGAGCGCCAATGTGTCATATCAGGAAGTGAATGATTGAGCCAGGTGGAGGCGCTGTGAGACTCAGCAGGAGTCCAGTGCAGTGCAGCCATGTAGTACTGCACAGACGTCCCCCTGCAGCGCTACAGCAATCAGCTGTGGCTGACTCTAAATTTAGAGTGTTACACTAAACTGCCAAAATAATGATAACATATGTGTACACTCTATTATACCCTCATCTATATTAGACCCTCATCTATACAGGTCATCAGCAAAAAAGGTTAATTTAGGTGCTGCTCGTTGTTTAATAACGAAAGTAAAACTGGTATTTTGCGTGGGTGTGGGCGGGGTGGGAGGGGGCGGCTCAGCAGACAAGTCAGTGGTGTCTTTTTTTGTTTCAACTTCTATTTTGTATAAGAGGCTTATGCAGGAGCTAGCTGTAGTCATGAATAATGATTAAAAATTAGTTTTTCAGTGGTACATACCTTTAAAGATGCAGTTCACTCGTTTATTAAATGCATTAGCAGTGGTCTCTAGTAGGAATGAATGCCTTGTAAGGTGGATTCGGGGGATTCAGGAAGTAGAAATGAACCACATCAGAGTTGAGCTTCAAACAGCGGGATGGGGAATCTTATTTCCTGATATTTGGGCATCTCGCCTCTGATTGGCTAACAGCAACACAACACTAACACTGACTCAGTTTGATATGATTTGTGTTTTATCTCCACAAATAACACAAGCCTGAGGGAGTTCTGCTGTGTGGTGGAGTTGCTAATGCTAACGGTTAGCTTCTACTAGCAAGACGTTCTCTACTGTTTCCTGGATGCTAAACCGACAACAGCCTTCTGCGTCGTGAGTCAAGATGGGTGACTCCATGGATGTTAGTGAGAGTGTGACGTAGATCTGTCAGGCTTGTCAAATCCTAGATTTTCACCGTCTGTTTTCAATCAGAAGTTAAAACAGGAGATAGGTGTAGGAGACTATTTTCATAGAGACTAACTCAGGGTGACTGATTATAATCGGAAATTATTTTTTAAAATGTTGTTGCAGTGAACCACACCTTTAACTTTTATGTGTCTGTACCATTTTACAGGCATTTATTTACCCATTCCACTGTGTCGGTTGTTCTCCACTTCATCCAGCTTCAGGTTCAATGCCGACCCTGTGTCTGACCCGGAACTGCTGTCTGGGTTAACATCTTGACCAGGTGAGCTGCTAGAGTCTTTAGTGGTGGTCTGGACCTGCACAGAGCTGCTTGCTGTGCTGCTGGTGCTGCAGAAAGAACCAGCCTGCTCAAGGTCAACATCCGAGTCACCGAGGCTGCGACTGAACTCCGAGCTGGAGTCCTGCGCAGCCAGGCTGTCTGTGGTGCTGCTGCTCGGGGATGGAGAACGGGGGGTCGGAGCAGCATCACACACGGGTGGAGGTTGTGCTGTTCTTTTGCGAGGAGATGGCTTTACAGTTTGTATGTCAACTGTGACTTCGGAGACCGTGGTTGACTGTGCCACTTTGTTGCGGCAAGCTGGGGTGGGAATTTCAGAAGTGTGGTGATCAAGAGTTAGAACAGCAGGTGCTGAAATTTCATCAGAGTCCTGGGCGAAGGAGGTTGGAGTTAGAGGAGGAGCTGGAGCCTTTCTTTTCCTTTGGATTTCCAATCCAACCTGATAGAAAATAAGAGAAAGGAAAACATGAGCATCTTCTGCACGTCTATGTGGTTTAGCCATAAATTATTCAGTTAATTTGGCAGTCAGGACTAAAATAGACTTTACTACAGAGTAATCAAACGGAGTGGAGATTTGGCAGAGGTCTGAGTATTTGAACCATTAGTGTCAACGTGCCTTCTCAATTATTGCACAAGGAAATTTATGCATTCTGTCAGTAATGTGAAACTGTGGTATTGTGACAGAAAGCGTGAATGGTAGTATATTCATTCAGCTGGTGAGCATGTCAACAGTAATGTAGGTATACTTCTACTGTGCTGGTTTACTGATATTTCAATCTCACCCTAAAAATCTGTTTTATACAGTTAACACGCTTCAAGCAGAACTTCTTTGAGAAAAATTCTCAAACCACTTTAGTTCTGTCAAACTCCGAGAACATGCCCAGAGTTGCATACAGTGTTGCATCATTTACCAGGGCAAGAAAGAGATCAGGCCACCTTGCCTTCCCGCAGGAACAACGGGTTCATACGCAAACTCAGTGAACTCCATGCAGGCCATGTTATAGAAGTCCAAATGGACCTCCAGCTAGCCGTCTTGCCCCCCCCCCCCCCCATGCATTCATACATACATGAATACCAACACATCAGAGGAAGTGGGCCAAAGTTGAGCTGCAGTGAGGATGGATCGTATGTACTGTAGTGTGTGTATATGCATTTATGTATCTATACATTGTTGTGATTGCGTTCCCTGCAGAGTGAAACATAAGATTACAGTCGTGCTTCACTGTGAGAGGAAAATAACAGAGGTCACAACACACAAGAAAGGGTGTGCAAGCACACACTCACACACACTCACACACTTCATGCAATCATGATCACACTTAGGCCTGAGCTAGAGAGTGAGTATGGAGTTGTTATGCAGGGTTAAAATTTTGCTGCTCTTCTGGGCTTGTGGTGCCATGACTGAATGCATTGTGTGCAACTGAGACAAGAGCTTTTTAGTCTGCATCCAAAGCTAATCTATAAACATCTGTGTATCAGAAAAACTTCAATATTAGATGAACATGTTTCCAGGAGCAACAGTAAACAGGTAAATAAGAAAAATGGCTCTTTGCAAAGAAACCCTACCTGGACAAGCTGGTTTGTCCATTAAATGCTCCACTCTATAGTTTTTGAGGATAAGGGTTTTTGGAGCATGTTTATCAGATAGGGTGGCCCACGGAGGATTCAGCGTGATGGCATTACCATTCATCAGTTGTTGTGAAGGACTCTTGATGGTTAAAGGCCCTTTTGTAACAGGTCAGCCTTACGGTGCTATGAGAAATGTGAGATGGAGTGTGTGCATGTATGAAAAGGGGGGTGACGGTGTGTATGTGAGCGTGCTTGGGCTTGTCAACATGCATAAGCGTAATCACTAATGCATCCGTAAGCCCAAATGCATGTGTGTGCATGTGCCTGTCAGAGGCAAGAACCGCAGCTAAACTGTCAACACGGAGGGCACCGGTGTGATAAACACACAACAGCAGGCTGGAAGATGGTTGGCGAGTGTGTGAGTGTTATAACGAAGACGTATGGGTGAGTGTGTGATAAAAGGAGTTTCACGCTAAAAAAAGAAAGGTTAACAATGTGTGTGTGAGGGTGGGAGTGACGGGTGGTGAAATAGATGAGAGGCATAGCTAACCCAGTTCCTCCATCATCCAGCTTGTCCTACTAACCCACAGATGTTTAATGTTTCGGCCCCCGCTCCCCAAGCTCAATCCACAAGTGGGGGAGAATAACGTTCTTATGCTGAGTGTCTTAACAAGTCTGTGCAGAGACGCTGCAAATCAAGCGTCTTAAACAAATGTGTCTAGGTATTAGGAATTATAAAAAACACTAATTGTTTAAGACTGATTTAAAACATCTAAATAATAATCTGCATTTAGCATAGCAACACAACTGTAGCCACACAAATCCTCTGAAGTAGACACAAACTTGTGTTTGTTTCATCGGTTTGCCCGACTTGAGCTGGCTGACTTCATAAATAAACTTGCTTAGACAGCCTCAAGTCCAAACAGATCCTATCCTACGTGCACGGCGGGGGGGCATGCCTCCCTAATCCGGGCCCCTCAGTCACAGTCTCACAGCCGTCAAGGCATGTGCACAAGAATAGAAACCTCATTGAGCCCGTTTATAATGAGCCGTCGTCTTGTTCTTACGTTTCACTGTAAAATTCAGTTTTACACTGACCTATGACCTATTAGAAAGAGTTGGTACAGAGAAAAGACTTGTTTGAGCTTGTGCGCTAGATCACCATCTTAATAATGTCAAATGTTTCTCTAACATTAAAATGAAATATGCCACATGCACCCAAACCTTTGACCAGTACAAGTATTTAACAATTTACCAAAAATATCTCACTTGTATTACGACTGAAGTCATGAAACTGAATACATCTCGTCAAACGCCCAGCTCCTTCACATCCAGACACATAAAAGAGAATGCAAAATGTACAATGTCCAACTAGAACCAAAACGCCTGCTGTTCCCAGCTGCAGCATAACAAAGGTTCCAGGAGAGGACGAACAGGCAGAAGAAATATACAGAGGAAGTGCTGCCTGTCGGCTTTGTCACATGTGGCTTTTTACCAATACGTCAACTGATTCAGGAAAAAAAAAGGGTTTCATTCCAGCAAATAATATAAAGTGATCGCATGGCCACACAGCAGGTGAATTAACATCTGCTTCCATGTTTTTCCATCGGTGCCACCCATCAGGAAAGACCTGGCCATCGGTCCTTTCTGTTATCTCTTCACCTGTTTAAACTGAACCTAAACTCGGAAAAACAAAGAAGTAAAAAGAGCCACGGAGTGATCATGTTGGCCTTCATACTGACTCACTTGAACAGAGTTTTGTATCAGAATAAATCATAGGGTGACCTCGTTAAATATTCATGTCCTGCATTGCCAACTGTCTCGACAACACAGTGACAAATCCCATTCAGCACACTTTAACCTTCCCACTGTCCTAACGGGTGTGACCCCGCGAGGAAAGTTGACCATTGAGCAGGGTTGATGGTTTATCCCTTGGGTCCATGTGGCAGGGGTGAGGAGTGAGCACCACCTCACCCCTGCCATGTGGACCTCAAGGGATAAACCATCAATCCTGCTCAATGGTCAACTTTCCTCGTGGGGCCACCCATAAAGACAGCGGGAGGGTTAAAACAAATGGATTCAAGAGAAATGACAAATAAAATCTGCAAAACCCAAGACCTGACCAACTGCAGCAAGCCCACATCATAGCACTGCCCCCACAGCCTTGTACAGCAGACACTAGGCATCAGAATAAGAGTCAGAAGGGGTTACTGTAGTACGTATGGGAAATGAATATGTTAGATAATTGCTGCAGTACTTGGTGCAAAAAATAAAATGAAAAAATTAGATCAGCAAACAGGAAATTAGAATATAATTGTGATAAAATAATAATATAAAGTGGCATTAATTAGAGAAATGGCTAGTATATACAGGCCAGTTTAGGTACCAATCAGGGTGGAAGAGTTCAGGTACAAACAACACAGCGACTGGAGTGGGAAGTCCTAGAGCTGTCACTCATGAGTCCAATTGCAGAGGGGAAGAAACCGTTCTTGTGGCAAGAAGTTCTGGTCCGAATGGATTGGAACCTCGTGTCCGATGGGAGTGAGTCAAAGAGACTGTGTCCAGGGTGACACGGGTCAGCTGTGATCCGACCTGCACGCCTCAACATCCTGAAGGTGTCCAGGTCCTGTAAGGAGCGGAGTTTGCAGCCAATGATGGCATTATGGGTGCATCACTTCATCTACCTCTCTTCTTACCCTGATGCACCTGTTCCATCACTCTGGAACAGGGTCAGTCTGGACTCATCAGGCCACATGACCTTCTTCCATTGCTCCAGAGTCCTATCTTTATGCTTCCCAGCAAATTGAAGCTTTTTCCCTGGTTTGCCTCACTGATTAGTGGTTTTCTTCAGGCTACAAAGCTGTTCAGTCTCAAACACCTGAGTTCCCTTCACGTCGTGCACGTGGAAATGTTCGTGCTTTCGCTATTAAGCACAGCCCCGAGTTCTACCGTTGTTTTTCTTTGATTTGATTTCAACAAACGTTTAAGTGATCGCCGATCACGATCATTCAGGATTTTTTTTCTAGACACATTTTTTTCTCAAAGACGATGGGTCCCCACTATCCTTCCAGTTTGTAATAATGCGTTGGACACATCCATGCTTTCGTTCTTTTTTAAACACAGAAACAGTTTTGTTTACCTGTTTGTAGCTACGGTTTCGTCGACAGCTGCCGGCTTCTTCAGGCTGACGCTGATGGTGGCGCGTCACTTCCTTCTCCGTTTATCTGCGGGCAGCAGAGGACGTTGTCGCCCTCTACTGCCCGCTCTCCCCTCTCCGACGATGCAGTCCCATGCGTGGTCCAGCGTGTAAACTCCGTCGTCCCTGTTCATGGTCCCACATCCACGTCTCCTTATCTCTATTGCTTCCTTGATCCATCTTTTGTATTTTTGTTGTTCAGTGGTTATGATCCGTGTCCAGGGACGACGGAGTTTACACGCTGGACCACGCATGGGACTGCATCGTCGGAGAGGGGAGAGCGGGGTGTAGAGGGCGACAACGTCCTCTGCTGCCCGCAGATAAACGGAGAAGGAAGTGACGCGCCACCATCAGCGTCAGCCTGAAGAAGCCGGCAGCTGTCGGCGAAACTGTAGCTACAAACAGGTAAACAAAACTGTTTCTGTGTTTAAAAAAGAACGAAAGCATGGATTTACAAAGACACAGCAAGAACACACCTAAAATGCGTTGGACAGTTCTTAACCCAATTTGTGTTGTTTCTGCATCTCCTTAGATGTTTTCTCTGCTTGATGCATGCCGATGATCTGACCCTTCTCACACAACTTTTCCACGACCACCAGATGCGTCTTTCCACATGGTTGTTTAAAAAATGAGAAGCTATTCATTGCACCAGTTGGGAATAAATAACTTGTTGGCAGTTGAAAGATATTCACCCATGCAGTATTTATCCAATAGGAGGCTTGTACCCATTTGCTTAGTTTAATTCAGGTGGCCAGGCAGCGTATAATGCAAATAGAAATCTGTTAAGAGTCAGATTAACAATTAATTGACTAAAGACATGGTGTTTACTGCTGCTGATCTCATTACTTCCTCCACCCTTGCTCTTTTATGTTACTTTATCCTGTTTAGAAACTGTCATGTCCCTCACTTGCAATGTGAAGGTAGCTGCTGCAGGCAGTTGACCACAATATGAGCTGTACTGGGTTTCAACACAAGTCCAATGTTGATGTGATGGTAATGTTGCATAACCCAAATCTAAACATGTAAAACCTCTGTAAGGTTCATATGAGCTGCTTTTTAAATGTGCTGTATCATTAAATCTTACTTAATTGCAATCAGAATATTCTCAAGTAGAAATTTTGTTCTTATGAATGACGCAAGCACTTTTTTTTCTTGTAACAAGTTACTGATCTCTGCTTAGTCAGCCTAAAATAACTTTTACAACAGATCCAAGAGAATGAAGTGTTGTATGCTGACTAATGTTGGCTAAAATCCTGGCCACAGATGTTGCTACTGAGAACGATAGTTCACAATAACATCACTCATCATTTCTTGTGAACTAGGTTTTTTGTAAGTTACATCTCTCACGTCTCTGCACTTTGTCACAGAATAAACAGTCAAAGTCCAAGTGACTGGACAGAGGGAAGTCTGGGCCTCCAAGCTTAGGCTACTGCCCCCGCGACCCGACTTCAGATAAGCGGCCGAAAATGGGTGGATGTAGGGCTGCTCAATTAATCGAATTTTAATCACGATTACGATTTGAGTTTTGAACGATTATAAAAAACAAAACAAGCCGATTATTTGCTCCTCCCACTTGCGCTGCCCTGAGTTGCAAATGAAGCGCTCCTCCCACAGTGTTGCCAACTTGGTGACTTTGACGCTATTTCTAGCAGCTTTTCAGACCCCCTTCTTGACTTTTTAACTTAATAGTACCTAGCGAACACCTCAAAAACATCTCTGGTAACCCTTAGCTACTTTCTGGATAACTGTCGTCGACATTTCCTGCAGGCTAGCTAAACACTCCGCCTGCGCTCGGACCGTTCTTCAGGACATTAGGAAAGGGAATGATGTAGTGATGTGTCGGTCGCTAAAGACAACTCTCGGAGCCGGCTCCTTGTTGGATTAACCAGAGTGAGTGACACACACACCACACCTGCGGACTCATGAGCCACTAAAAACGGCTAAATGTGCGCGTGCTAAACACACGTGCAGCTTGCCCCGGATTGCTGTGAGACCGGGTTGGGGGGTGGGGGGTGCAACTGTGGTTGGGACATTTATTACATTAACTGATGGACTTGTAAATAAATAGTTTATAAATAAGGTAGAAATAAGTTCCTCACGCTGATAAATAATAACTAATCTCTCTGAGGACACGGTGCTAGTTAGTGCATGCTCCTACAGCACCTTGACACGACTCAATAAATGTTATGCAACATTTTGTGAACATCAATTTATTTGCACTTATTTGTTATGAATGCCACTGTATAATTCTTGCTGTCAGTATTTGCAAGATATTGGTATTTGGGTCTGTACTGGTAAGACTTAAATGAGTTAAACCAAGGTCTACAGCCCTTGGGTCATAAACTATGAGCTATAAGTATATTGGTCTTTTTATACTGGGAATCAGGAGTTCTTTTAGTTATCATCTTGTTTCTTATTTTTGTCGTGATTGTGCCCTGAGCAATTTTATGACTGAATAAAAACAAATAAAATCAACATAAATTGAAAAATCGTCCTAAATAATCATGATCTCAATTTCAGTCACCGTAATCGTGATTATTATTTTTGCCATAATCGAGCAGCCCTAGGTGGATGGATGGAATGTTATTATTAACCATTCTTGTCCACAGTGGCTGATCTAACATGTCACCACAGGGATCTGGTTTACCATTATTCACTAGCCAAGTTTACACGAGCCAAATTTCCTCTATTCAACTCAAATATCGATTGATCGGAAATCCCAAATTTCTGTTTACATGGACACCAATTGAAATGATCTGATCATGCACCAAGCATTAGATCAGCTTAAACCGGCTGAGCATGCGCAGAGTTGAAAAAATCTTGTAAACGCCATGTTATCTGCACGCCTTTTCCCTCGCATTTTATTTTCTCATTCTCTGGCTTTGTCCATTGGTTTGACAAGAAATACATTAAGATAAGCAGAAGTGAAGTGATCTTTCACAACCTCAACAATCAAATCAAGCAGAGCTAAAACTTTTAGAGTATCAGAGTCTCCCACTCAATATTTTTCCAGTACAGCTTGTTGCCTTCAGCAGATACAAGGCCAAACTTCAGCTAAATGGAAAAGTACAATTTTTCACTGTGATCTGATTTGATTTGACATTTACAGTTGTTTGGCAGGTTCTAGTCATGCAGAGCTCTTTGGTGCCAGTGGCCTTAAGAAACAGACTTGATCAGGCATGGCTGCTCTGGCACTGTTCACAGTCATGAAACTAAATCCTTTTTTTTTTTTAAATGATACAAAAAATATAAGTCAGGCACATTGAATCAATAAACACCTTTGATTTTTGTAGCATCTTTGAAATTTTTTTTCAGTTAGTAGTTTGCCCTCTCTGTTTAGAACTGTACAACATTAAGATTTATTGTTCTGTGATATTACTTTATACAATGGCTCTTGTTGGCCTGAGGCTGATTAGTCGATAAGCTCGGCCCGTCAACATCTAGTTTTCAATCTTCCAACAAATACAGAAAACAGAGATGAAACGTGAGGTGACCTGCACTGAGTGGACATGCAGAAATACACGGGAGACCCTGTGCTCAGACGGGGTAATAGTTCAGGAACGGCATATGAGCAGGATGGAGAAATCTATTATTAGACCAGTCATCAGGTCTGAAGATAACCTTTCCAACTCCTGCTGTTTTTGGCTGCCCTTGTGAGCCCCAGAGGCATTTTAGTCATTTGGAGCTGAAGTGAGGCATAATTGTTCCCTTGACAGGTGAATGCATGAATGACGTCTCTTTCTAAACAACTACACTTTGTGATGCTTGAAATGAGCAAATATATTGTAAAACTACTGCTTATGATGCAAAGGGGAAAAGACAAATGCCACAGATGCAACATCAGCATATAAATGCATCAAGATGGTGACAAAGTGCTGCAGATTAGAACTGAATCAATGTGTGTTACAACAACTACATTTAGGTATGTTTGAACACAGAGAAAAAAAATGAAATAAGTAAAATGTGGCCTTTATCATTCTAATCTCTCAGGCTTTTATTTTCAGCTCCTTTTGTGACGTTTCTCAGAAATGTTTTCAGCTCCTCTGTGCTCTCCTCGCTAGAGTTAATTAAGCCAGTGAGGATATCACCAGTTTTCAACCAGAGAATGACGTTTCTGCACAAAAACATCTATCAAGCACACAAGCTTGTGAAAATACACAAACCTATTGTCAGAGGAAGGAGGGATGTTAGTTGCTAAACAACATTTCCCAGCATGCCGTCATAACTATAATGAGACTGCAGGGAGTCTTTATTCCAATAAAGGCAATCCAGCTCGAGACTTTCAGGCCCAAACAGAGAAAGGTTTTTGTTAGATGCCAGCTTTCATATGACTGTCAGGTCTAACTATACCATACCAGGTTTACTTATAAAGCACTTATTAAACAGCATGACAGCTGACCAAAGTGCTGTACAGTAGTAAAAAAGAAGGAAACCAAGTCTAAGAAAAATGGATTCTAATATTTACCAGGATGCTTTCACAGCAACACATCTGCGTATGACATTTAAACCAAAATCTGTAAATTTTTGTGCAGGACACTGCAAGAATCACTTTGGGCATGAAATAGTGCTCTTATTTATTGGAGTAAGAAAAAAAAGTATATTTTTAGAGACAATTCTTCAGTAAGAAGTGTGTTTTATGTTACCAACTTATCTGGACTTAAACCACCCACCCTCACACCCACCCCCACACACTCTATCCCTTCACCTGATCGTTCGTTAGGCTGGTTTGTCCCAGGCTGGGTGTCGGAGCACCGGGTGGTGCTGGGGCCCTTCTCTTTTTGGTCTCTGCTGCAGATGACATCCTGGGAATATCAGTGACAGACTGGGATTGGCCCAGACAGCCAGGCTGAACCCCCATGTTTGGGACCCCCGATGATGTGGACAGACCCTGGAGATAACGTGGAGAGGGGGTGAAGTCAGACAAACTAAATAAAGACTCAATACCAAAATGTTAGTTTAAAAACAACATTTGAAGCTTCTGTGACAATATTGACTACTGAGTTGTTATAAAGATTTTTATTGCTAGTCCATAATTCAAATATGTGTGTTTATGTATTTAGCAGACGCTTTTGTCCAAAGCAACTTACAAGTGAGATAAACTACAATCTTAGTTTAAATTGTTACTTTGACCTAAATATGTATATTTTTCCAACAACAGGAAAAAAGACCAGCCAATAATAGCCTTCAAATTAAGTTCAGAAGTGTTGCACTATGAGCTGTCAAGGTCTACATTAGTGGCAGCGATAACTCTAGTGTTCGGGGTAAAGTTGACATTTATATTGAAAACATGCAAATTTCATTAAACTTCTCTCACACACACACACACACACACACACACACACACACACACACACACACACACACACACACACACACACACACACACACACACACACACACACACACACACACACACACACACACACACACACACACACACACACACACACACACACACACACACACACACACAACTAGCAGTATGTGGTCAGATTTGCAACGACACCCCCCCATTATTCATCCATGACAAATAATCCAACACTTCTTTGATCAAGCAGACAGTGTAAGCTTATTTTCAAAGGGTGGCTGCTCCTGACTAAAACATTGAGATAAAAATGGTTCCCAATATCTGATCAAAGGGAGACTTGAGTGATCTTGAAAATCTGATCCTTCTAGTGGCTCAGCTTGGTACAGAGCTATGGCACCAACAGGGGCACCACACCAGGGTGTACAGCCCTCCATGATCGAAGAAAAGTATTTGAAAGCAAATTCCTTAATGAGTTAACTCAACGGCTGAATGCAAGATAAAAAACACAAAAAAGGAATTTTAGGTTCTGCCATCAACGTCCCAGGATGTCCCAAAATGTCTTGGAAATCAAATTGATGCAAGGCTGAGTTGGAAAATGCATGTCAACTGTATAAGTAATAAGATCTATAAGTCCATCGGCACAATAAGGGAAGTTAGCATTTGGGAAAATGCTCCGTGTCCTCACTCCTCTGTAAACTATGACAAACAACGTGTCTTAAAGTACCAAACAACCTAAAATCTCTGATCATTTTCTAAACAATTCTGTCAGTTTATTATACCTTTCTGAGATGAGTGACTGTTTAAACATTGCATGTGTTACTATCTCACACACACACACACACACACACACACACACACACACACACACACACACACACACACACACACACACACACACACACACACACACAGCAGCGAGGTGTGTTGAAGCCGTCATCAGCTGATCGGGAGTTAGGGTTTTCACTGCTCTGGTTTTTAGCTCCTTGTTCATCTAGTTCACGCTTTTTTGCTTAGCCTCCAAGGACACTACTCTACTTCTACTTACAGGCTTCACCATGATGCCAATACAAATGCTAAACTCTTCTTCTGGTGCTTTTTTAGATGGTCGACAAACTGAAAAAGCTAAGTGCTAGCCTTTATTTGAGCTGGTGGCACAGTAAACTCCACCCAACTATTGATCCACCTCCTACTGGTTCCTACCAGGACAACAACACTATTGAATGCAGGTTCTGTTTAGCAGAGGGCAACAGGGTGCTGTCCAATGTGAACCACTAAAACCAGTTAGAAAATAATAACTTAAAGTGTTAAACATTTCTATTTGTTTAATGTTGCTTTAATGCATATTCAAAAACTAATATTAACTATTGGTGGTTTGGTGTTCATTTAACTCCAAAACATACCCAAAATGCTAAGCAAAAATTCTTTATGAGAAACAAACAAAAAAAAAAAACATAAAAATATTTAAGCCCTGCTGTGTCTAACCAGTTGTTGTTTGTGTTGTATGACTGAAGACTCGCAGCCAGACAGGAGCGGCGGGGGAAGGGGGAAGGGGGGGAGGCAGATTGACAGAACATAAAAAGAAATGCTGCAGGAGACGACTGGTTCGATTCCTATTTGAAATCCTCTAAAAAAGAGCATGTTTTTATGTCACCCAGAATATCCTTCAAAGTAAAATATTCACATGAACTCTAGCTGACTTTTTCACCTTCTCTCTGCAACATCTTGCCTTAGTAAATCATCAGAAATCTTCTCAAACAGCAGGTGAGGAACATAGATTAACATGTAATCTGGCTGTTGGGGGAACTCAGCAGTGCATTTATAATAACAATGTGAGTAACACAAAAAAAACATCTGCATAACAATCAACACTGTTCACAGGTTGTGTCTTAAACTAATATTGTTTAGATACTGGCTGCAGGATGAATCCCACTATAAAGAGATAAAACATTTACTGGACCAATTACTGGGTATGCTGTTAATAATTAATCCAATAGGAATGAATGGATTAATGATGTACCTGTCACTGGGACTCACCGTAAAACCAGTTTCTCTGTTATTTAAAAAGTAAAGAACCAAAGAAAAGAAAAGAAAGCGATCTTTTCTATAACGCCTCTCAAGATAAAACTCACGAGGCGCTTCACAAAAACAAACAATTTCAAATATAAAAAAAGATTTCAAAATGTGTTTAAATGAGAAAAAAGAAAAAAAAAGAAAAGGAAAGAGAAAGAGAAAATGAAATGAAAAATGAAATCAGTGGATCCCAGGAAAGGCGGAATAGGTAGAAAGAGCCGACTAAGGAGAGGGTGATGACGAAGGTCACACAAAAAATACAAATAAAAAAGTTATAGGTGAAATACTAATAAATGACAGACTGCTGGGGGAAATTCCTACAAAACCTACATTAAAGTCTTCAGCAGAGAAATTAGAGTGCAGTGGAAGCAGACAAGGTTCTCACAGAATACCAAATGCAGTAAAGTTCAGGTAGAGTTTATGTTCTGCAGAAAATACTGAGATGCAACCCGCCGTTGTCGATTTAGCCCCAGAATGCAAGACTGGGATTCTAACATTTTCTTAGGTAGGGTTCGCATAAGTTTGCTTACAGTTTTAAAGTTTGTAAGCAAGATCAGGAAGTATAATAAGAAAATACAATGATTTTATCAGGTTTAGTTTTATAAATTCTAAAGGTACTTTTGTCAGTGAGATGCATTTCTTTAATTAGTAACAAGGAAACGAGCACATATATGACTGTCAAAATGACCAGAAACCAAAGTATTTCATTTTGTCATGCAGCAGTTTGTAGATGATTTTTAAACACATCTTGTTTATTTGTGCACAAATACGAGTAATTAGGGGCTTTGTCTTGTCGTTTTCTAGAAATTGCTGCCTAGAGCATAGCATAGCTTAGCATAGCATAGTATACTCTCTGTCCAGGGTGTACCCCGCCTGATTGCCCATTGACCACTGGAGATAGGCACCGGCACCAGCCCCCCCTTCCCACGACCCTACGTGGACAAAGCGGGTTCAGACAATGGATGGATGGATGGATAGTATAGTATAGCATAGCATAGTATAGCATAGCATCGTATAGCGTAGCATAGAATAGAAAATCTTCAGGTCTCAGTGGGAACATGTGATACATAGAAGTGTACATTTGTAATGGAATTTGAAAGCTGCAGGTTTAGAGAAGGTTTGGAGAAATGGGACATAGTGATCAACCTCAGATGTGAACCTCAACACCTTTCAAAGAGAAAAAGCTGATTCATGTTTTAGAATCAGAAATGCCTAACACAATGCTTTCTGACCATGTTTCTCAGACCACACCTCTTATTACACTGACCATCACATTAGTTCAGTCCTCAATGAACAATTAGAGATAAGAGGCTAGGCTTTTAGCGCTAATGTAGCTAAGGTAGAGTAATCTGATGCCTTCTGGTTGATAACACTGTGTGTGTGTGTGTGTGTGTGTGTGTGTGTGTGTGTGTGTGTGTGTGTGTGTGTGTGTGTGTGTGTGTGTGTGTGTGTGTGTGGTCTGTTAACAGATCTTGGCTGAAAAACAATCCTATCCTATCAACAAGGGAAAGAAAACGTGCTGCATTGAGGCTTGCTTATAAATCAATCTAAGCAGGAACACAATGACAATTCAGAATACACATTTCCTGGTTTAACATTATTCTGAACTGTGTCTATAGAAAACTTAGTGTTCTGTCTTCTTTCTATCAGCTACCTTTCACAGCCGCATTTATATCAGAATATGTGATTAAAAGAGTTAAATAAGAATAAAACATGAAAACAGACAGCTTGATGTTAGAAGAGGATTACAGTGAAGACAAAGCTGTGTATAAAAAAGGAAAATAAGAAGACAGAAGGGTGGGGTCGAGCCTAAAGCTTTGAACAAGAAGCCAGGCACATTTTTTTAGCTAATACAATCAAATCCCTCCATCATTAGGTTATGGTGATAAGAGCACGAGCAGCTGGTTTACAGAGGAGGGAATGGGTGGGAGTCATATCTTGGTGTTAAAATATATCAGCAATACATTTAAAAACAAATAAATGTAATATTTACATTGCATTTAGGCTAACCGCCATGTGATAATAAATCCTCCTCACATCTAGTTGTTACTGATTGTGTTGAGACTCTTCTTGAAACCTGACAACTGAACAGGACTTAAGAGTACCATAACTTAGGGATTGATGAGTGTAAGCATAAAATAACCTAAATATATATTTTCTGCTGTAATTAGTAATTATTTACTCCTTAAAGGTGAAATGGCTTTACTCTGAATACTCTGCTACTAAGGATAAAGGCAGCGCTGCCCTCTGGTGGACATGGTTGCAATATTGTGAGGAGGACCAAATGCTAAAGCACACTCTCTAAAAACGTAGAATGGACATTCATGACATTAATTCTGTGTTGAAGGAAACTGAGTCCGAGGTTCCAGATCACACTGAAGCATGTTTGGAGCCCTTTTAAAGGCCCAGTGTGTGATATTGTTACCAGTTTTCTATCTAATCCTGTGTTTCCAGTTCACAAACTTGTCCTTTTTCACCAATATTTCTCACCAACATCAACTGTAAATATT